CATACGGCAAAAAAAAAAAAAAAAAAGTAGAGTATTTAAGTTGATTTTAAATGTGTATCTGTGGTTTAGAGCAAAGTATATAAGGCCTAAGCACTCCCTAAAATATTTTTATTTTCTCAAATGCTGAAATTTTGCTTGATTAATTACAGCTTGCAAAATAAATCAAGCATCTCCTAGTGACTAATAAATTTTCTTCAGAATCTCAGTCCTTTGGATTTACACTCTAATAACAAATATGGGTGGTATCTAATTTAATGTGACCTTTATAGTTAATTTGTGTCAAGATGTTACTGAAACTACAATAGAAATTTTTTCCTTTCTCCTTTATCCCCTTGGACAAATATCCTTAAAATTTTTTTTTACGAAAACTTAATAGAGTGACTATCATTTGTTATTGCTTTATAGTTCAGAAAGCACTTATAATATGCTTTATCTTGTCAGCTAACATTTTACACCTATTCATCAGAGATAGTCAATTAAAAGCCTTGTTATTAAAGTAAATTTCTTACCCCAGTGCCCAGCACATTGTAAATTTAACCTTGTCTTTGGAGAACTCAGTCTTTACAAACATTAAGTCCTTATATTCTTTAGAAAGTTCCAGCAGTAATATCTTTTCTTTGTAGGAGGTCTTTGATGTAATGCCACCGTCTTTGCACTCAACTATGTTCTTCCAGAGCTGAAAAACTTTATACACTTACAAGTCTTCCCCTCTTTAAAAAAAAAAGCAAATGGTTGACTGAAATAAAAGTATTTTTTCAAACTATGAAATAAACCAATGAAACCCATGAAAGTATAAATTGTTTTAATTTTTTCAAAAGTAGAGCATTAAAAAGATTGTTTACAGGGTATTAATTTTATGGGAGAAATATGAGACAAAGGGCATAAATCATACCTTGTCACCCCCTTTCTTTTCTCTACAGTCCAGGTTTTCTAGTGATTGCCTAATGAGTATATCATTTTAGTCAGGCTGTAAAGCAGGAAAAGGGCTTTTTTACGCCTGATGGTTTTGAATCTTTAAATGCTTTTGTTGCCTGTGATCATTTTTATTTCGTAAAACATGAAAGAGGATGATACTTACCGTAAAAACTCTTTTCCTTTCTATAGAGAGAAATAGCCCGGAAACTTGCAAATCCTAAGCAGCCAACAAATCCTTTTCTAGAAATGGTCAAATTTCTGTTGGAAAGAATTGCACCTGTGCACATTGATTCAGAAGCCATCAGGTAAGCTAGGAAATATATTCACTCATAAATAGAATATAATCTGAAACTACAGTGTTGTAAGTTTAAATTCTGGGTCCCCAAGGAGACCTAAAAAGGTTTCCTGTACACCTTTTTAAAGGCAGAAGCATATATCATTGAAGTTGAAAGAACGACCAAAGTTCATTTTTTGATCTTTGGTTTGCTTCACTATTGATTTTTTTAAGAGTTCTTGTGTTTATTTTCAGCTTGTATGTGCTCATTAAAGAAAACCTAGAACATGAGAAGAAAGAAAATTTTAAATCTATAGGCTATCATCAGCCTTTGAGTTTTCTTAACAGTTTTCATGGCCACATAGTATTGTTTAGTGTGTATTATATTACTGTTCACTTGAGATATGTGAAAAACAGAATAATAGTTTGAAGGTAGCACAAGATTGCCATTAGACTAATCTGCTTTCTAAACACATGTGTATTAATTACCAGTTTTTTGGCTCTACTTTATCTGAGTCTTTATTTTTAACTTTAATATGGGTATAACATCTTGTTATATGAATGTGAAAATCAGTGATAATATGCAAAAAGTAAGCAGACTAGCATAATAGACATTGACGGCTATTGTTTTTAATTAACTGTTCCCATAATTTCATGCATTTCACTTGTTTCTAATGATTTTCTGTTGTAAACTTCTGAGAATACTTTTCCCTTGCACTAACCATTTTTCCAGTAGATTATCTACATATCTTTTAATGTTGGGTAACTAAATAGCATTCATTGATTCTCTTTTCTTTGGACTAGGAGACCTGGTTCTAGCTGTTAGTTATTTTATCTTATGTGAATCACTGCTTTGGTTGTATTGAAATTCCAATTGTATTAGTTTGCTAGGGCTGCCATAACAAAATACCACAGACTGTGTGACTTAAACAACAGAAATTTATTTTCTCATATTCTGGAGGCTAGCAGTCCAAGATTCAAGGTATCAGCGAGTTTGATTTCTTCTGAAGCCTCACTCCATGGGATGCAGAGATAACTCTTTGCTTTCCTCACATGTCTGTGTCCTAACCTCCTCTTCACATAAGGACACCAGTCATTTGGGATTATGCCCCACCCATTTGACCTCAGTTTACCTTAATTATCTCTTTAAAGGCTCTATTTCCAAGTACAGTCACATCCTGAGGTGTACTGGAGGTTAGGACTTAAACACAATGAATTTGGGGGTACACAAGCTCGTAATGGTGATGTTTGTAGGGGTTTTTTTGGTGGAGTTTTCTTGTTTTTTTTTACCTAAGATCTCCTTATCTTTTAATTTCCTTGTTTGCAAATAAGAAAGGTAAGGTTCTGAGAGAGACCAGGTGGTTTTTTACACCTGGGTTATAGCAAAAACCATAACTTAAACTGAGATTTATTATTTTCAGTGTCAGTGTCCTTTGCTCTATACTGTTTGGTTTTAATGGGGTAAATCAAGGAAATGGTAGGCACTCTTTC